AGCCAGACACGGAGGTGACGCCTGGGGAGCATGCCTTGGGGAGTCAGGGGTATTCTGAGCAAGGGGTAGCCACATACCCTCAGCTCACCTCTGCTGACCACAATCTACGCCCACAAAAGAGAGCCAGCCAGCCCTCTTTGTCAGATGTGGAGGGAAATCCTGGGTGGACAGGAAGAAATGAAAGCAAGCTAGTGATCCAGCCAAGTTAGCAAGCACCTGCTGAGCACCTATTATGTGGCAGGCACTGAGCAGGCACTTGACATCCCTGTGCCATTTGAAAGAACAGCTTTTGAGGGTGGGTATGGTGATGTCTTCTCTACAAATGAGGAACCAGGCTCAGTGAGGCAGACTGACTTGTACAAAGTACACAGCTAGAGAGTGGCCAGGCCAGCCATGGCCAATGGCCTCAGTCCTCTCCTTTTGGTTGTCACCTGAGTTTCTCTGCTCAGTGCCCCAGTCCTTCCTCTGCCTGAAGCAGGAGCTCACACCGGCACACCATCTTGTCTAGGCAAATACAGAACGGGTCATGAGAAACCTCATTGGAAAACTAAGAAAAGAAGCAAACAAAACTCCAAAAAGAGAGGGAAAAAAGAAACCTGGAAGCAAATGAAGAAGCAGAACAGATTTTCAACCCTGAGGAAACTGCAATGGAGTTGCTGTGGGGCTTGCCTCTGGCTGGAACATACAGGCCCTGGGTCCCTGTCCAGGGCAGTGGATAGCAGAATTGTGACCTGGAACAAAGCTGGGCTGGCACTGTTTCCAGGGCTGGTGGAATTTCCAAATCCCACAGGTTGGACCCTCAGGCTCTTTCTATAGCTATACTGAGATCCTGCCCTGAACCCTGGCACCTTAGGTGGGGAAGACACTTTGCTCTGTAGCTCCTGAGACTCCCAGGCTGAGTCTCAGGCCCTCTTGTGGCATCTTACAATTACTTTCTTTCTTGAGGTCTTAATATCTATAATAAAAATTACAATAGCAACTTTTTTAAAAAATGTATTTATTTTCTTGTTGTTGGGAATATACACAGCAAAACATACACCAATTCAATAATTTCTACATGTACAATTCAGTGACAGTGATCATATTCTTTGAGTTGTACAACCATTCTCACCCTCCTTTTCCCAGTTGTTCCTCCCCCATTAACATAAACCCAGTGCTCCCTACGTTTCCTAATATTTCGAGCTGCTACTGTTAATTTGATCCCATACAGATGGATCCTGAAAGAGCACAATGCTCAAGGCATTCTTTACTAGTTAAGCTAAACTATTGCTTAACTATTGCAAAACTTAGCTCAACTAAGACTTCAGGGGTTCACTCAGCCTCCGTGGCTCCAGAAAGTCTGGATTCCATGAAAATTTTCCATTCTGTTCTACATTTTCCCCCTTTTGATCAGGATTCGTCTACAGAATCTTTGATCAAAATGTTTAGTAATGTTGGTTGAGCATCATCCAGTTCTTCTGGTCTCGTGGCAAAGGAGGCAGTTGCTCATGGGAGCAATTAGCCACACATTCCATATCCTCCTCCTATTCCTGACTCTCCTTCTTCCACTGTTGCCCCAGGTGAACAGAGACCAGGTGTGCCTTGGATGTCCACTTACAAGCCTTTAAGACCCCAGTCACTATGCAATGCACTAGGAGGTAGAACAGAAGCACTAAACACATCAGTACGCCAATTAAGTGGGATGTCCCATGAAACCATGACCCTAAACCTCTAAACCAAGGAACCAAATTCCATGAAGTTTTTGGTTGTACATAAGCAGCTTCAGCAGCTACTCTTTTTGGTGCTGTTGTTGTAAGTATATTTATCACACAACTTTTGCCAATTGAACTTTTTACAGGTGTACAACTTACTGACAGCAATTGCACTAATTGGGTGTGCAACCCTACCCTTAATCAGCGTGATTTTTCCATCACCATTAACCCTCCCTTTTCCCCCTTCCCACTTGCCCCTGGTAACCACTAATGAACTTAGGTCTCTATACACTTAGCGACTAACATCTATTGAGCCTTTACTTTTAGGCCAGGCACTGTTCTCTGCACTTTACATAACAATCCTATGAGGTTGATAATATTATGATATTCCAGATGAGGTGAACAAGGCACAGAGAGGTTAAGCCACTCACTCAAGGTTACACAGCTTGTAAACAGAGGAGCCAGAATTTGAATCCAGGCAGTCTGACCCCAGTGACTGTGCTCCTCTTAACCACTATCCATATTGTCTCAGGCCCTAGGATATGATAGAGTGGAAAGAGCAAACTTCAAAATCAGGCAGACAGCTTTACCATTTACTGCTACTTATCCCTGAGCAATCTGTTTAACCTCTGAATCTCAGTTCTCTTCTCTATAAAATAGTTACAAAAAATATACTTCCTGGAGTTGTGTCTATTACCCAAGACAGAATAAGTCCTCAATTGTGTCCTTTCACCCTGCTCTATACCTCCTTTTCTAGCTTAATTTGTATGTCTCACACTCGTTAGACACTAAGGCTGCTTCTATTCTGGAACAAAGTTCCACTTCTTTATATTCTGGTCTAGTCTATTCTGTATCTACTTTGTGCCTATCATGTGCGGGACACAGCACCAGGCACTGAGGAGCTGGACCTCAAGGAATGAGACTGGAGGCAGGGAAATCAGTCTAGAGTAGGCAGTGGCAGTAGGGTTGAAGGCAGGAGCTGGCTGTGAGAAACATTGCTTTAAGCTGGTAGGAACTCTTCCCCTCCTCCAGCTTGTCGCCCTCCTGCCGGCCTCCCGCCAGGGCTCATAGGCAGCTTTCTTGTTGCTTCCTGTTGCAAAACTTGCACCCTGCAGGGCACCTACTGAAGGCCTCATTCCTCCAGCTGCAGGGAGTCTCAGGAAGCTCGCAGGCAGGAGACATGCCCAAAGCCCTGTGACTGTGCCTGCTTGTCCTCACTCTGGAACCATTCATTCAGTAGACTGTAAGCCAGGCCAGGCACTGGGGACAAAATGGAAAATAGCAGGTCTGCCCTCAAGGAGCTCCCCAGCATGCCCTGCTCTTCCACTGCCTCTTACGCCTCCTCACTGGGTTAATGCTGGACCCACCCTTCTAGGACATTATCACTTCTTTCTCCCAACAGAGCAGTTTCATTAACAAGTGGTCCTCCTCCCAGCCCCCATCCTGCACGGGAAAGGAGAATCCAACGGAACTAATAAAAAAAATTGTGTGCACTCCCTATGTGCCAGGTGGGTCACATACTTAATCCTCCTCACAATCCTGCAAGGTGGAGTTATTATCCCCATTACACAGATCAGGAAGAAAACGAAAGCTCGCACAGAGGGACAAGGCCAGTTTGAACCAAGGCTGTCTGCCTGCAGAGCCTGGGCTCTTCCTACACCTTAGGCTGCCTCTGTCAGCACAGCCTGCCGCCCTGCTAGCTCTGGCTCCTTCCTTCATCTGGACTTTGTGCTTTCACATATTTGGACTCCCTGCAATCTTGTTTGTATCAGTCCCAGAGCAAGCCAACCTCTCCCAATCCTGTGACAGCAGCAGCAACAACATCCTAGGCACTGCCTTTGATTCTTTGATGAGCTTGTCTTAATTATTCCCCAGGCTGGAGCAGTTCCAGTATAAAGTATCTGGTAGTACTGCAAAGGATGCAGGTTTGCTGTTACATTTTCTCACTCCTCTGACTCCAGCTCCTCTTACTCCCCACCTCCTCTCCTGGCTGGTAGCCTCTCTCCTCTGCTGTCCTTGTTTTGCCTCTGTGCACATCACGTCTGGGCCTGCAAAGTAGTGCTTCAAACTGCTGCCACCCCAAGGCAGCTAAGCCAGTCTAGCTCAATTCAGAAAAAGGTGCTGGAGTCTCTGCTGAGTGCCAGGCACTGCTCTGAGTGTTACAAATAGGCAAGAAACAAGAGGAAACACAGGGACCTTGCCCTTCAGAAGTCTAAGAGGCTAGGTGGGAGAAAGACACAGATAGGAACAGAAATCATGACATAAGGCAGGCAGTGATGGGGTTGTAATAAGGTCCTAAAATATCAGAGCTGGAAGGAACCTTCGATTCTATTTTAGCCCCTCCATTTTACAGATGCGGGAACTAAAGCCCAGAGGAGGGTAATTACTTGAAATAATATCAGGTAATTACAACCAACACTTCTGCAGTACTTACTAGGAGCTAAGCTCTGTTCTATGTGCTTTACATCTTAATGCATTTAACCCTCACAACAACCCTATGAGGTAGGCACTATTGCCCTCTCCATTTTAAAATGAGGAAAATGGGGCACAGAGGGGTTAAGTACCTTGTCCAAGTTCACACAACTAGTAACGGGAAGACTGTAGTGAATTCATGCAGTCTGGCACTACAAGAGGGAGGTAGCTTCTTTAATGTACCATGAAATGGAGACTAAGTCTACCTGTGGAAGTAATGAGAAGGCTTCCTGAAGGAATTACTCATAGGCCTGATTATAAAATCACCGAACTTTGGTTATCCAGAGTCAACGAAGAGGAAGCTTCAATGACTCAGAGGTTTGGGTTCAACTGGAAGTTCCTGAGTGGCCAGGAAATACAAGGCAACGAGGGTAGTGAGCAGAGCCCCATGTTTGCAAAGAAAAGGCCACATAAGAAGAAATAACTTGATATAAGGGAATTATTCACAGAATAAGCAGCAGCCCAAATCACTCCTCCTTGCATGTCTGGCTTTCTATCCAAGATGCACAGCCTATGAGAACCTTAATGTCCTCAAATGCCAGTTTCTGAGGCATAGGCCAGCAACTTAAAAAAAAAAAAAAAAAGCTCAATGATATAGATTAAAATTTTTTAAAAAGAGGTTTCTAGTAAACCCTTGGTCAACCAAAGACTTCAATTTCCCAGAACTTTCCCTGACCCCCTCCTGCCCCCCCCAACACACACACACACACACACACACACACACACACACACACACATACACACACACACGCTGGCCTGTGGTTAACCAATAGCCTTGTCCAGTTCTGCCTCATGAGTTTCAGAATGAACACAGTTCTCAGTGTAAAAATGACTTACCAATCACTGCCAGATTATGCTCTGAGCCACAAGAGACCTGTAAAAAGAAGAAAATAAGTTGTATTAGGGAAATAAAAAAGTAGAGATATTTCAACCAGTATATTTTATGATCACAGTTGTTTTTTAATGACAACTATTTTTGGAAAATTTTAGAAAAGAAGTGGTAAGGGGCACCATATACAAAGGTTAAGGCTATAATTACAACATATTCACAACTGTGTAGAAATAATAGGTGAAAAAGCATTGAATGGAAATACACCAAGATGTTAAAGTAGTTATCTTTAGGCAGTAAGACCATGAGTGATTTTTTTTTTAATCCTTTTTTATCCAAAAAAGATGAAAGTTTTTGAAGACTGAACTGAAAAGATCATCACTCTCATCTGGACTGATAAAAAGTGAGCAAAGAATTCAGTGGAAACATACTCGTCCAAAAAGAAATGCTAGACTTTTCCTCATCTGCTCACTTGCCCTCCCACCTTTCACCCTCCAGCCACACAAACTACCAGCAGTTCTCTGAACACGTCATGTTCTCTCATATCTCTGGACCTTTGCACATGCTGTTCCTCTGCCCAAAATTCCCTCTCCTCGACTGCCTACCTAGGAAACTTCTATTCATCCTTTAAAATCTCAGCTCAAAGTGTCCACTGAGACCCGTTCCCTGTTGCCTCCAGGCAGACTCAGGCACTCCTTTCACCATATACCTTATCTGTCCCCCCATTCTAGCAACTATCTTGTCGCCTCTTAACCCACCGGAGTGCATGTGTCTTGAGAATAAGACTGAGTCTCATTCACCTTTGTATTGCATATATGGATTGTACAAGGCCTGGGACTCAGTTAATATCTGCTAAATGAGAGAATGAATGAAAGAACAAAGTGCATAAAAGAACAAATACCTAACACATAAAAGACACTCGTTTGGGGTTCTGAATCCAGTGTTTCCATTCAGTAGGAGACACTTTTTGCCTTTCCGTCTGTCTCCACATGTCCCACTGCTACCAGGAGGAAGTCATTCGGAACATAAAAGCACAAATGGTTCCCTGAGTACTAATTAAAAGGAACTCAAGACTCTGGAGAAGCATCATGTGAGATGCATGCTCACTTTAGCTCCTGGCAAGATGAAGGCTGCAGGTACTCACGGAATGTCAGTGCTGGAAGGGCCCCTGGAGATCATCTAGTCCAATCTTTCCACAGTACAAGGAGAAAATGGAGGCCCAGAGAGGGGAAATAACTTGCCTCAGGTCTCAGAGCAAGTCTGTGTCAAAATTAAGACTAAATCCACTCTGATTTCCATAAAAATTCCTTTCTTCATGTTATAGCTTCTCACTCTTCCTAGTGAAAACCACTTGGAAGTGATGTTCAAAGGTTCTTAGCACAGGGCTGTGGCAGTTAAGGTAGCAGATTCCCCAAAAGATAAAACCCATACCAACCCTCCTCCTGCCCCCTAAAGATGGGAGACAGAACCTCTGAGGAAGAAAGGCAGTCCAGTTTGTGCTCCTGCACCCTGTGGGGATCTCTCATTGGTGAACTCTGTTCCTACTTTGTAAGTCATACCCAAAGGTGGACAAGATACCTGTCAGTACTGCTCAGACAAAAATAAACAAAACCCCAAAGCTTTATTATAAATGGGGAAAGAACAAGAAGAAATATTTCTGGAGGAGAATCAAGTTTAACAGCATAACAATCAAGTTTTCCAAATATGAGCTTCTGGGAAAGGAAACCTAGAATTGTTGAGTACCTCCTATGTGCCGGGCTTGTGCCAGACACCTACTTACATAACTGTTAGCTCATTTAATCCTCATTACAAATTTCCAAGGGAATTATTACTGTACCCGTTTACAGGTGGGGGAAACCAAAGTTCAGTGAAGTGCCTACATGTGGTATTCAACATTATCATCACTGTCATTGTTATTAAGTATTGGCTAATTGCCTGTTACTATGTTAGATATTAGGAATATCAAGGGTAAGGCATAATCCCAGGTGCAGATACCTAGCCTTTTAAGGGCTGTTATAGGATAGGAATGAGAAATATGCCATGGAAACATACAGGGTAGCTGCATTATGATGGTAAGATTATAAGATACCTTTTCTTCTGTTCTCTCTTGTCCAGATAATTTTTAACTGTGGTGGTAGCAGTGATAATAGCAGGAATTAAAGCTACCATAAACTGAGGACTCATATGTGCCAGGTATCATGCCAGGGCACTTTATAAATATCACCACATATTTTTTTTAATGTTGTAGTTTAGAGAAGTTAGTCTCCCATAAAAAATTTACACATACATTGTTAGGTGACCCTTATTGCTCTCCCCATATTGTGACAGCACACTCCTCCTTTCCACCCAATTCCCCACGTCCATTCAACCACCTCCTAACCTTCTCTGCCTTCCCATCTCACCTCCGGACAGAAGCTGCCCGTTTAGTCTCTTGTATCTACTTGAGCTAAGAGGCAAACTCCTCATGAGTATCACTTGATGTCCCACAGTCCAGTCCAATCCCTGTCTGAAGAGTTGGCCTCGGAAATTATTTTAGTTCCGGGCTGATAGAGAATCCGGGGGCCGTGCTTTCCGGGTTTCCTCCAGTCTCAGTCAGACCATTAAGTCTGGTCTTCTTACTAGAATTTGAGTTCTGCACCCCAGCTTTCTCCTGCTCCATCTGGGACTCTCTGTTGTGTTCCCCATCAGGGCGGTCATTGGTGGTAGCCGGGCACCATCTAGTTCTTCTGGTCTCAGGCTGATGAAGTCTCTGGTTTATGTAGCCCTTTCTGTCTCCTGGGCTACTACTTTCCTTGTGGCTTTGGTGTTCTTCATTCTCCTTTACTTCAGGTGGTTGGGACCAATTGATGCATCTTAGATGGCCGCTTGCAAGCTTTTACGATCCCAGACACACTCACCGAAGCAGGATGCAGAATATTTTCTTAATAAGCTTTATTATGCCAATTGACCTAGATCCCCTGAAAGCATGGTCCTCAGATCCCTACTCCTGCTACTCTGTCCGTCAAAGTGTTTGATTGTATTCAGGAAACTTCTTAGCTTTGGTTTAGTCCAGTTGTGCTGACTTCCCCTGTAGTGTGTGCTGTTCTTCCCTTCACCTAAGATAATACTTGTCTACTATCTAGTTAGTGAATAACCTCCACCCTCCTTCCCCACCCTCGTCGCCATCAAAGAATGTTGTCTTCTGAAATAGCACCACATTTAAATCATCACAATAATCTTTTCAGGTAGTTTTGACTTTGCTCATTTTAGAGAAGGAAACTAAGGCTCATAGAGATTAAATAACTTTCATAGCTAGTTAAGTGGCAGTCCTAAGACTATAAAGCCCAGGTCTATCTGATCTCTAATATAGGGCTCTTCACTGCTAAATCATGTAATTTTTAAAAAATAGTTATTTCATTTTACAAAATGCAGAAAGAGAAAGGGCCAGCCTCTGGCTGCCAGGGATCATCCTGGGGCTGGTGATTGCAGGACTGACCAACCTTGAGGACCAGGGACTTCTGGAAACAAGCCACTGACAAATGCTGGTATCAGGCAGCAGATGCTGCTGTGAATTCATGAGTGAGACACTGATGAATGGATTTTGTCAAGGCAACGTAGAGCTTGAAGCTCAACACTTCCCACTGCTTCTTGCTGCCTGTGCACTGGCATAGAGGTCAGGAGGCGGAACACCACAGGCCACAAAATCCCAGTGCTACACTCCTTCAATGAGATTGTATCAATGACCATTTGCTTCATACTGGTCCTGTCGACATCCACCCACCGCCTAGCTGAAGGTAGCTTTCTAGAAGACTTTGCTAACAATGGCAGTGTGCCCAGGAGAAAGAGATTCAGAGCCAAGAAGCCAGGTGGGTCCTAGGTCCTCTGCTTCCTGGCATTTCACCTCTCAGGCCTAAGTGTTCTCAGGTGTAAAAAGGAGGTAACAGTGTCTGTCCTGCCTGCCTTAGAGAACTGCTAGAGGACAAATGAGACAATCCATTCCCTCACAGCCATGTGTCTCATCTTTCTTATATACAAATTTGACCATGTCATGATCTGTTTAAAACCCTTCACAGGCTCCCAGCGTTAGTAGGGCAAAGTTTAAACTCCTTAGGAAAGCCCTCATGAGCAGGCCCCTGTTTACTTCTCTGGCTTCTTCTACTCATGAACCATCAACGCCAAATAACATATTTCCTCTGTTTCATTCAGACTACATTTCTTACATCTTCTCTACGAACATCATGCCATTTCAGGCTTTTATGCATTCTATTCCCCTGACTGGAATTCTCTTTCTCCCACTGTCTACCTAGCTAATTCCTACTTATCTTTTAAGATTGCTCAAACATCACCTTCTGGTAAAGTATTCCCTGACTTCTCCAGACAGAGCCAGCTGCTCCACCCTAGCTACTCCTGAAGCACCACATATCATTGCTCTTATCACACCTAAGATGTTGATTCATGGGCTGTGCATGTGTTAGGCACTTTGTCTCTCAGACATAAAGCACAGTGCCTTCCCAGTAGGGCCTCTGCCCCACAGTCCAAGTTCAGGGCATGATGAGGTATGCGGGACTCAGGAGAAAGACAAGGGGCCCAGCGAAGGTACGTGATACCAAAGCAAGTGTAAGGAGGAGTGCCGCCAAGCCAGTCCAGTTGGAGACAGGCACTGAGATGCACAGTGAGGACAGGAAGGGAGCCACACTACAAGCATAGAGCGTGGAGATACTGGGGGTATCAAAAGTATAGTAGAGTTGTTCTAGGAATAGCACAGCAAAGCACAGAAGACCAGCAACAGAAGTCAGTCCTAGGAAACTGAGCCTTGCTATAGGGAAAGCAGGTTTCAGCTTGCTAGTTGATTACCTCCAAGAGAAGGGGGCCACACTCCCCAATGGTGAAGGGTGAGGAGTAAAGATGGCTGTGGAAAGCTGTTTCGGTGCTGCAGGGTCGTCTCTGTTCAGGCACCTCAGCCTGAGGAGGCAGAGCTGTAGAAAATTTCCAAATGCCCAACCACCAGTGAAATAAGATATCTCCCACCCACTGTCCTGCCAGGCTCGACTCCATCAGTTCCTGTG